CAGAAGTTCTTATCTTCACTTTTATCAAATAGTAGATTACTATGGTCATTTAATGCTGTGTCTGGTGTACCTGACCTATTCCACTGATCCACCAACTATTTTTAATTAGTACCAAATATTTTTGATGTATGCCACTTTATAATATAGTTTTAGATCTGGTATGGCTAAGCTACCTTCCTTTGCATTTTTTTCATTAATTTCCTTGATACTCTTAACCTTTTGTTTTTCCAGATGAATTTTGTTATTATTTTTTCTAGCTCTAGAAAATAATTTTTGGTAGTTTGATTGGTATGGCACTGAATAAGTAAATTAATTTAGGTAGAATTGTCATTTTTATTGTATTAGCTCGGCCTAACTATTATTTGTTTAGATCTGACTTAATTTCTGTGAAAAGTGTTTTGTAATTGTATTCCTGGGTTTGTCTTGAAAAGTAGACTCCCAAATATTTTATACTGTCTACAGTTATTTTAAAAGGAATTTCTTTTTCTATCTCTTGCTGCTGAGCTTTGTTGGTAATATATAGAAATGCTGATAATCTATGTGGGTTTATTTTATATCTTGCAACTTTGCTAAAGTTGTTAATTATTTCAAGTAGTTTTTAGTTGATTCTCTGGGATTCTGTAAGCATACCATCATATCATCTGCAAAGAGTGATAGTTTTGTTTCCTCATTGCCTAGTCTAATTCTCTCATTTTCTTTTTCTTTTTTTAATATGAATTTATTTATTTTTAGTTTTCAACATTCACTTCCACAAGCTTTTGAGTTCCAAATTTTCACCCCATCTCCCCCCTTCCCCCACCCCAAGATGGCATACATTCTGAATATCCCTTCCCCTAGGCTGTCTTCTCTTCTATCTCTCCCCCCTTCTCTTATCCCCTTCCCCTTCTATTTTCCTGTAGGGCAGGATAGACTTCTGTACCCCATTTCCTATATTTCTTATTTCCCAGTAGCATGTGAAAACATTTTTTTAAACATATGTTTTTAAAACTTTAGGTTTCAAATTTTCTCCCTTCCTCCCCACCCACCCTCATTGAAAAAGCAAGCAACTCAAAATGGGTTGTACATGTGCAGTTATGCAAAACATGTCCATAGTAGACATGTTGTGAAAAACTAACTCTATTTCCCTTAATCCTATCCTGCCCTCCCATTTATTCTATTCTTTCATTGACCCTGTCCCTCCTCAGAAGTATTTCCTTCTGATTACCCCCTTTCCCAATCTGCCCTCCTCTCTATCATCCCCCTGCTCTTTTGCCTCCTTCTCCCCCTATTTTCCTATAGGGTAAGACAGATTCCCATACCCAATTGAATGTGTGTGTTATTCCCTCCTTAAGCCAAATTCGATGAGAATAAGATTCACTCATTCCCTCTCACCTTCCCCCATTTCCCCTCCACTGTAAGAGACTTTTCTTTTCTATTTTTTGTGAGATAATTTACCCCATTCTACCCTTCCCTTTCTTCTTCTCCGAGTATAATCCTCTCTCATCCCTTAATTTTATTCTCCAGATATGACCCCTTAATCTTCAGCTCACCCTGTGCCCTCTATCTATCTATGTATGCATACATATAATTTTTTTCCTCCAACTACCCTGATACTGACAAAGGTCTCATGAGTTATAAATATAATCTTTCCATGCAGGAATGTAAACAGTTCAACCTTAATAAGTCTCTTATGATTTCTCTTTCCTGTTTACCTCTTCATGTTCCACTTGAGTCTTGTATTTGAAAGTCAAATTTTCTATTCAGCTCTGGTCTTTTCATCAAGAATGCTTGAAAGTCCTCTATTTCACTGAATGACCATTTTTTCCCCTGAAGGATTATACTCAGTTTTGCTGGGTAGGTGATTCTTGGTTGTAATCCTATCTCCTTTGCCCTCCAGAATATTATATTCCATGCCCTGTGGTCCTTTAATGTAGAAGCTGCTAAATCTTGTGTTATCCTGATTGTGTTTCCACAGTACTTGAATTGTTTCCTTCTGGCAGCTTGTAATATTTTCTCCTTGACCTGGGAACTCTGGAATTTGGCTACAATATTCCTAGGAGTTTTCCTTTGGGGATCTCTTTCAGGAGGAGATCTGTGGATTCTTTCAATTTCTATTTTGCCCTCTGGTTCTACTATATCAGGGCAGTTTTCCTTGATAATTTCTTGAAAGATGATGTCTAGGCTCTTTTTTTGATCATGGCTTTCAGATAGTCCAATAATTTTTTTCTCTCTCCTGGATCTATTTTCCAGGTCAGTTGTTTTTCCAATGAGATATTTCACATTGTTTTCTAATTTTTCATTCTTTTGGATTTGTTTTACAGTGTCTTGATTTCTCAAAAGTCACTATCTTCCAATTGCTCTATTCTAATTTTTAAGGAAGTATTTTCTTCAGTAAGCTTTTGGACTTCCTTTTCCATTTGGCCAATTTTTCTTTTTAGGGCATTTTTCTCCTCATTGGCTTTTTGGACCTCTTTTGCCATTTGGGTTAGGCTATTTTTTAAGGTGTTATTTTCTTCAGTATTTTTTTGGGTCTCCTTTAGCAAGCTGTTGACTTGTTTTTTCATGATTTTCTTGCATCACTATTTCTCAGTTTTTCCTCTACTTCCCTTACTTGCTTCTCAAAATCCCTTTTGAGCTCTTCCAAGGCCTGGGACTGATTCATATTTTTCTTGGAGGCTTTGGATGTAGGAGCTTTGACTTTGTTGTCTTCTTCTGGTTGTATATTTTGATCTTCTTTTTCACCAAAGTAAGATAATATAGTCTGACTCTTTTTGCGCTGCTTGCTCATGATCCCAGCCAATTACTTGAGTTTTAAACTCTTTGTTAAGGTAAGAGTCTGCTTCCAATGTGGAGAGTGTACTGTCCCAAGCTTCAGGGGTTTGTGTTTTGTTTTCAGAGATACTTGTAGGGACCTGTAAATTTTCAGTTCTTCCAAGGTGGTAATGATAAGGGGTGAGGTGTTTACTCCTTTCCTGGCCTGTGACCACAAGTATTCCTTTCTGTCTGTAACTGTGAAGGAGGGGTTCCTCTCACAGCCACTACAAGCTCCACCACGCCAGCCTCCTCCTCACCCCAGACGCCGCCCAGAACTGTGACCCAGATCTACACACGGGCAAAGCAAGAGATTCCTGCCTCAGCACTGGAAAACAGATCCCTGCAGTCCCTCTCTGATCAGCCACTGGATTCCCCCTCAGTCTGTGGGCCAGAAGCTCGGGAAGCAGCTGCCCCCCCCCTCAGGGCCACACTCTTGGGGAATGGAGCTGAAACCCCACCTTCCTCTCTGACCACCCACAGAAACAGATTTTTCCCACTGACCTTCTAAGTTGTCTTTGGCATTGGTGGATTGAGAAGTCTGGAAACCTCCACAGCTGCCGGAGATTCAATCCTCTGAGGCCTGCTCCAGCTTCACTGTGGCCTGAGCTCCCCTGCTGAACTGTGCTCCGTTCCCAACCCGGCACAATACACCTTTCTGATCAATCATCCAGGTTGTCTTGGGCTGGAAATTTGTTTCACTCTGTCTTTTTGTGGGTTCTGCTGCGTCAGAATTTGTTTAGTGCCATTTTTTATGAGTATTTGGAGGGGAGAGCTTAAGCAAGTCACTGCTTTCACTCCGCCATCTTGGCTCTGCCCTTCTTTTTCTTCTCATCGCTAAAGCTAACATTTCTAGAACTATTGAATAGCACTATTGAATAATCGTGGTGATAATGGGCAGGCATCCTTGTTTCATCACTGATCTTTTTGGGAAAGCTTCTAGTTTTTTTCCGATTATGTATAATGTGCAGTGATGGTTTTAGATAGATACTACTTATCATTTTAAGGAAAACTCCATTTATTCCTATGCTGTCTAGTGTTTTTTAATAGGAATGGTCACTATATTTCGTCAAAAAGCTTTTTCAGCGTCTACTGAAATAATCATGTGATTTCTGTTAGTTTTATGATCGACATAGTTTTCCCAATATTGGACCAGTCTTGCATTTCTGGTATATGACCACCTGGTCATAGTGTACTATCTTGATGATAAATTGCTGTAATCTCTTTGCTAATACCTTAGTGAAAATTTTTGCGTCAAGGATCCAGAAAAAGAACTACGGAGCCTGAATGCAGATCGAAGCATGTTATTTGCTCTCTCTTTTTTTTTCTTTTTCTTTTTTGTTTGTTTCTTCCATTGGTTCTAATTCTTCTTTACAACATGACTAATGTGAAAATAGGTTTAATATGAAGGTATATTTAGAGTCCATATTAAATTGCATGCTGTCTTGGGGTGGGGAAAGGGGGAAGATGGGAAGAAAATTTGGAACTCAAAATCTTATGGAAGTGAATGTTGAAAACTAAAAGTAAATAAATTTTAAAAAATAAAATTTTTGCATCAATCATCATTAGTGAAATTGGTCTATAATTTTCTTTCTCTGTTTTGACTCCTCCTGGTTTAGGTATCAGCACTGCTAAATAATATTTCAAGTATGCTATGTAATAGGTCCAAATGGGCAATTTGAATTACAATAAACTTTTTGGGGAGTTTTAACAGTGCCTACCTCAGGGAGATATCTTCATGTATGGGGATAGGCTGAGGCCCTGGCCACTTCTGATGAGACATGTTCTGGGCTGGGACATTACCCATGAAATGCTGAGCCTGCATCCTGGCCTCTTCCAGGGCCATATGTGTTCATTCTTAAAGGATTTGGCATTTTGGGGTGACATGACAAACCCTGATGGCCCCTTCTTCCTTCTTTGCCTCCCTCCTCACTTCCCTCCCCAGGACTGCACCAAAATTTATTAATTAGAATTACAAACTGTATTAAAGGACACTGAACCAGGAAAAGCCATTCATTCTCCATTAAGTAAAGTTTAAAAGAATGATTTCTCTCCCTCTCTGTCTCTCTCCATCTTCCTTTCCCTCCCTCTATCAGATACAGCAAACTACTTAAATATTGTAGCCAGAAGAAGACCTGGCCTAGGTGAGATTGGGACTGGATCTTAAAACTCTGTTCTCCTTCTGCTTTTAATTTCTTTTCTGATCACAGGTGACTGAATTTTGATCTTGGGATGAACATTTCTATCCTTGGAACCAACCTTAGAAATTCCAGAAGTTGAGAGATGAGGGGTCCCTCTGTTGGCACTATGGAATACACAAGCTATGTCTACTATATTGCTTTCTGGATAAAAAAAAATGTCCACCGACAACAAGGAGGACCGAACTCTTGCCGTGGCTTTTCAAAAGACATAGGTGATCAGGGAGACCATGCAGAGCTGATGCAGAGTTGAAATGCTTATTTAGTAGTCTTGAAAAATGTTTCATGTTTAACGTTGTAAACATTAACTTTTGAGGCAAACATAAGAGTTATTATGTTACTGCTGCTTGTTAAGTCTTTGTCAGTCAGTCCTTGTGAGTCTTTTTGTATTAAGTATTTATTCTGTGTGGAGGAAAGAAATAGCTGCGCTCTATCTGGTTTTTGTTATACAGAAAATACCTTTATATTCTCCTGTTTTAGGGAATCCCCAGAAGTGAGACAAACTGAAGCTTTATTCTTGTTATGAGGCATAAGAAGCCAGAAAAAAAAGAATTTGACCCTTTTCCTTAGAGGCCAGGCTCCCTGAATCCAGTCTGTGTTAGTGGGTCCTGCTCTAGGGTACTCAAGTAAGACAAGCACTCCAACTCTCCTGGGTCCAATAGTAGTGTTACAATGCAACACTGGAAAGAAAAGCTAAAATACTACTAGACTTGGAGTCAGAAAGACTTGAGGTCAAGTACTGCTTATGACTTATTAGCTGAATGATCACAAGCAAATTTACTTAACCTCTCTGTAATTAAATTTACCCATCTGTAAAATGTAGATGATGATTAACATTAGTATCTATCTCACAAGCTTTTTCTAAGACTCAAATCAGATAATGCATACAAATTGCTTTGTAATTCTTAAAGTACTACATGTCAGCTATTATTATCTTTTTCTACCACTGTCCTTTCATCCCCTTATCATTTCCCTTCTCTTGTTGTACCTCCCTCTCCTTGAGAGTTGTCATACCTCCTGTATTCTTTATTTCTACCCTTCTCTCTGAGTGTTTGTTCCATCTTTTGTGTTGATCTTTCTCATTTCCCATCTGTTTGTCCTTCTTTGCCCTCTTTACCCCAACTCTGACCTTTGGAGAAACTATTAAAAATTACTATTAAAATAGTTATATATTTGGATTTTCCTTACCGAGATGAAGATGTGGGCTCAGTGGTCTGTCTCTGGACATGTTTATGTTTAATGAGATGTTCTTTTAAAGCATTCTGTACTTCGGTGGGTATATCAGGGGAAGTATGGCTGATTTTCATTGCAGTCTCAATTTGTGGAGATGGCTTCTCATTTTCTTTTTTCTCTTCTTTTCCCTCAGTCTCAGAGACTGGAGTACTTGAGATGCTCTGTGGCAGGATACTGACATGGGAAGTAAGAAGTTTGCTTCTCCAATGTGGCCAACAGAGTTTCCAGAAGATAAAGAGTGAGCCCACCAGCAATGCAAGTCCACAAAAGCTGACTACTACAGCTAAAAGACTGACAGAAATATCTGTAAACAACAACAAAAAATCAACTTATAGTAACTGATCAATAAACAATTATTTAGCATCTACTATACGTCGGGCACTGTGTAAAAGAGAAGAGGCTGTGAAATAATGCTAGTTTAAAGATAATTCTTCCCTCTTTTAATGCCTCTCTTAACATACATTTATTCTGAATATCTGCCACTTTAGCACTTTAAAGTTTGGAAAGCATTTTACATACATGGGAGAGAATAAGCATTTATAAATCACCCACTATATGACAGGTACTGTGTTAAGCACTTTTACAAATATTATCTCATTTGATCCTCACAACCATGGAAGTAAATATTATCAGCCCCATTTTATAGTTGAAGGAAATTGGGGCAAAAAAAAGGTTAAGTGACTTGCCCAGGATCACATAATTACTAAGTGTCTGAGGTCAAATTTGAAGTCAGGTCTTCCTGACTCCAAGCCCAGAGCTCTATCCACTGTAGCTGTATCCACTCTATCCACTACATTGTAGCTGACTTAAAGAAAAAAAAGCCACATGGTTTTCACATAGTCCTTGAAAGCAGAAAATTATCCATTTTGCCTTTTTAATTTTTTTAAAAGACTTTTGGAAAAGCTTTGTTATGGGGGGGGATGTCTTGAACATATAATCACAGGATACATAAGCATAATTTCCAAATACATCACAAATCCATTCTAAAATATGAACAGCTAAAGGTTGATAACTGATCAGGTTCATTAGCAAATGGTCATCTGCAAAAGCTATGCCTGAGTGATCCTTAAAAGTCTCCAATTGAAACATACTTGCTTTAAGAAGATAAATATTAAATACTAATGTGAATTGCCCCCTAGAGTATAAGTGGGAATTTTACCATTATAAAAAATAGATATTGTGCTGTGCGCACTCTATTTTAGAACTCCACAGGCTCCTTTTGCTAGCTCCAGAAATGTATTTTCTTATGTACTACAACTGGCCCACAATCATCCTCTTTCCCTATATAGGCTCCTTCTCTCCCACCTACAAGCATGCCCAAATTCCCCACATCCCGGAAAAAAAAACAACACCTCTCTCAGGTCCACCATCCCCTCAAGCTGTCTTACTAGTTCTTGGACAAACTCTCAAAATAGTTGTCTACACTAGCTGTCTCCATTTTCTCTACATTCACTTAACCTTTTGTAATCTGGTTTCCAACCTCTTCACTCACTTGAAACTGCTTTCTCCAAAATTATCAATGACCTATTAATTGTAAGAGGCACCTCTGACTCTTAGAATTCCTTATTTCTTTCAAAACTCTGCTCAAGCACTACTTTCTACATTGAAGTCTTTCCTTATGTCCCCAGCTGCTAATGCCTTCAATGGAAAAAAAAAGAAAAAAGTACCTCTCAAAGAAGAAATGAGATTTATTAACAATATAAAAATGCTCCAAATCATGAATAATACAGATACAAATTAAAACTCTGATGTTCTATCATACTTATCAGATTGGCAAAAATGATAATTGTTAGTAAGGGAAACTGAAGGGAGAACAGGAATGCTAATGAACTGCTGGCAGAGATTTGAATTGATTGGTATAGTCACTCTGGAAATCTGGATATCAATTTGGAATTGTACTCAAAAAGTCACTGAGCTGTATCTATCCTTTGACCCTAAAAGATCAAAGAAAGAAGAAAAAATAAGCATATATACAAAGATGCTCAGTGGCACTTTTTGTATAAATTAAATTCAACCCTTCTGAATTTTGTCTTATGTTCTATGCATTTTTCATTCACTCTTTTCTCTGTCTTTTCTTTTTTGTTAGTATCACTCTCACAACTCCTTCCTCCCAAACCCACACATTACCCTCCCACAGAAAATAATAAAATTACCTCTCTTGTAACAAAGTGTAGCAATGTAAAACAAGTCCATGCATTGGCTATGTCTGAAAATGTATGTCTCATTTTGCACCACCAGTTAATCTGTGAAGAGATTGGAAGCAGTCTTCTGGAGTCATGACTTAGGTCTGTTAGAGTTATTTTCTTTTATAATATTGTAAGAATTGCATAAATTTTGCTGTTGATTTTACTACTCTAGTTCTACATCAGTTTCCGGTTTCTCTGAATCTATCCCTTTCATCATTTCTTAGTGTGCAATGATATTGCATTACATTCATACAGAGCTAGGTCATGAAGTTTGAATGATGCAAAATTCAATTTGGTAAAAATTATAAAATGATACCAAGCGACATTTAATTTGAGCCAAAATTTTATTAATGTGACACATGCAAGATAGTTGAGGGCTTTAACATGCCATTACATTGTCAGTATACACTTGCCAACCATCAAGTATGGATGTGGTGTGCTGATTCATACCATTTTACCAATAGGTATGTAAGGTTTTTAAAGAGTCCTTAACAAGATAGATAAAAGGAAGAATATTTTAGATGGAAACTCTACCAGGACAAAAAAAGAGAAGAGGCTTGTTATTACAGCAGAACAAAAATTAGATGAAATTTAAGAGTATGAATATGACCAAAGTAACTAAAATAGCATGAGATTTTGAATTGTCTGAATTGATGGTACAGAATATCATAAAACACCCACAGGCAAAATAAGATCTCAATGCGGTATCACCTTTCATGGTCTGCAAACCAGAACAAAGAATAAAAATGGCACAGTGATATAAGTGGAACATCTTTTAGCTCTATGGATTGAAGATTGTAATCAAACTCATTCTTCGCAATCATTCAGAGAGCAGCTTTAAGTTTATTTGTGGCAGTAACAAAATGGAAACAAAGTGGCTAGTGAAGTAGCTTTTATGACATATTTTGGTTGTTTCAACTGCTTTAAAAACTGAGTTCAATTGCATATAGAGGTGGCCAGTGAAGATGAGGATGTGAGAGCTAAATATTTTAACATTATGAAGAAAATAATCAAAGAAGCTGGACATTCTGATCGACGAATTTTTGATGTGGATGGAAACCTTCCAGAACTAACATTTCTAAGAAAGAAAAAACCAAACCTGGATTTAAAGAGTCTAAAGATTGGGTTAGGGCCAAGAAGGCTGAGTAAAAGTAGTGACTTGCTTGAGCTCTCCCCTAAACCCCTCCAAATACTTGTAAAAATGGATCTAAGCAAATTTTAGAGCAGCAGAAGCCACAAAAAGACAGAGTGAAACAAATTTCCAGCCCAAGACAACTTGGATGATTGATTGGAAAGATCTACTGTGATGGGCTGGGAGAGGAACACAGCTCAGTGTGGGTGCGCAGGCAAAAACCAGGCCTCAGTGAACCTAGAGGAGGCCTGAATCATGGGCAGCTGTGGTGGTATCCAGGCTTCTCAACCCACAAATGAAGATAACAAAGTCAAAGCTCCTACATCCAAAGCCCCCAAGAAAAAAATATGAATCAGTCCCAGGCCATGGAAGAGCTCAAAAAGGATTTTGAGAAGCAAGTAAGAGAAGTAGAGGAATAACAGGGAAGCGAAATGAGAGTGATGCAAGAAAATCATGAAAAATAAGTCAATAGCTTGCTGAAGGAGACCCCAAAAATACTGAAAAAAATAATACCTTAGAAATAGACTAGCCCGAATGGCAAAAGAGGTCCAAAAAGATGATGAGGAGAAGAATGCCTTAAAAAGTAGAATTGGGCAAGGAAGTCCAAAAGCTCACTGAAGAAAATACTTCCCTAAAAATTAGAATAGAGCAATTGGAAGATAGTGACTTTATGAGAAATCAAGACATTGTAAAACAAAATCAAAAGAATAAAAAAGTAGAAGACAATGTGAAATATCTCACTGGAAAAACAACTGACCTGGAAAATAGATCCAGGAGAGAGAATTTAAAAATTATTGGACTATCTGAAAGCCATGATTAAAAAAAGAGCCTAAACATCATCTTTCAAGAAATGATCAAAGAAAACTGTCTTGATATTCTAGAATCAGAGGGAAAAATAGAAAATGGAAAGAATACACTTATCTCCTCCTGAAAGAGATTCCCAAAGGAAAACTCCTAGGAATATTGTAGCCCAATTCCAGAGTTCCCAGGTCAAGGAGAAAATATTGCAAGCAGCCAGAAAGAAACACTTCAAGTATTGTGGAAATACAATCAGGATAACACAAGATTTAGCAGCTTCTACATTAAGGGACAGGGGGGCTTGGAATACAATATTTCTGGAGGTCAAAGGAGATAGGATTACAACCAAGAGTCTAAGGATCACCAACACCTTTATTGGGAGGTGATGCAGAAGAGAATTTTAAATTAAAATCAATGCTTGTTTATCAATCAGTCTTGACACTGGCATTCAAAGAACATAAAACTCATTGATGACTTCCAGTTCTTTGGCAGTCAAATAAGAAAGCATAAGTGACTAAATCTTGAGAAAATCAGATACTGATTTTATATTTTATATTTGATTCCATTCTGTAAGTGCCTATGCCATGTTTCTTTGTCTCTGAATTAAGTTCAGAAGTTTCCTTTCTGAGTTAAGTTTAAAAGTTGTTTCCCTATAAATCACTTTAATTGAAAGAAAACTGTTATTTTTATACCACTAGCTGCCCTTGTACAATTATAAGAAATCTGTATCTATACACCATTAGATATTCTTGCAGGTGGGTTAAATCAATCAGAATTTCCTAGATGGAAGGAGGGGTTGTTGCTAGCCCATATTCCTCATTTCCAGCTAATCATACCTAGGTCTGTGATGCTTCTGACTTTGTAACCAATCATATCATTTTCCATCTAGGATGCTTCCTCTTCTTTGTTTCCTTGTATTTCCCAAAGCTATATGAAGGGTAGTAATCCAGTTAACCCCACTTCATGGTCTTTTGGCTAAGAAGTTAAGAGACCCCTTTTATTAGCCTTACCAATAAATTGAATGTGCTCAGAATTCTGTGCCTCAGTTTACTTAAATTTCAATCATAACAAACTTCAAAGTATTTTAGTCATCCATGTTTTAAAAGTGAAATCATTGTCCTTGCAATATTTTTCAACATGTGTTATTTGTTTTAACCTGGGCTGTGAGGACAAATAAAGCATGTCTCT